GAACTTGGTCATTACAACAACAACAACAACAAAAAATAATACATGGCACTACAGGATTTCTATAAATCTCACTGTCTCCAACACAAATATTTCTTTTATATTCCAGTCAATTTTAGACTTGGAATCGGCTTTTGTTTCTTTGAGTCGGTACTAAACTTTATGGTCAACTGTAAAAATGAGTTAATAATTATGTTAATTTTTTTTTTTTTAATGCTGCCTTTTTATTTTCAGTATTTTTTACTTTCTTTTCTCTCCCTCTCTCTCTCTCCTTTTATCTCAGTAATTTTTCTTCATCAAGTGTTGCTGCCCTCTGCCTCCACTCACATTCCTCCACTTAAACTCACAGTCAAGGATTAACTCTCAATTAACATTGTTATTGTCGCTAACATGATTCTAATATTTTTTTTCACTGCTCATTAAAATTGCTATTTACCTCTTGTATCCAAGAACAAACTGAAATAACAAGTTAGAATAATGAATTAAATTTCATAATATAGGCTATATTATCTAAACTGATCATAATCCTATTTACCTCCCTTGAACCTCTTCTAATTATTTTAGATTGGAACTCCTGTTTTAAATATCATTAATTCTTGGATACAGTTGGTATTTGTTATTGTTGTTTTCATGCTGTTCAGATTTTGTTGTTGTTTGCTTGTGTGTTGAATATTTTTCAAAATACAAGCAAATTTTATATATATATTTTGTATTAAATCAACAGTATATTTCTTATCAGGTGGGTATTAAAAATATATATTGGTTGGTAAGTATGTTTTTTAAAAAGTCTTTCACACCTACAAGCTCTACAAAGCACATATTTGTATTTAACCTTTCCACCAGTTGATTTTTGTGCACTTGTAATGTCCTTCCAATTTTCCAGCTGGACAAAGCCTATTAAAAAAAAAAAAAAGAATAAAAATAATCTCTTCATTTTCCAATTAGTTGACCTAAAATCTAAAATTGATCATTAAGTAAACCATATGTAAATTAACTTTTTCTCAAAAATAAGCCCTTTAAAAGCTCACAATAAAAAAAACTCTTGCACATATCTCTAACTCACACTATTTTATCCTCTGCGCTGACCCTGAATTTTTATGGCTTATGGTCATGTCATATTGAAACCTTGGTTCTCATATGATCACTGAAGTTATACAACATAGAGCTGGGTCAGTGCCTGTTTGGGTGGTGTAATGGATAATGGCTCCAAGTTGGAAATTGGAGAGTTGAGTTTCAATTCCAGTTGGGTTCATTATATTCATTTACACTTAAATACCCTTGGTAAAGTATGAATCCACCTTTTCTACCCCCAGCTATGGGTTAATTAGTATAACTTGTATCAGTAAAATCATTATTATCTCAAGAAAATTCTTACAACCTGAAAAAATTCTTGCTTTAAATCACCTGAAAAGGGTTGATAAGCCATAAAAAAACAATCAATCAATAAACCCTGAATTTCAACAATAATTAGCAAGGTAATGAATACAAATAAAAATTATCTTTATCATCAATAGAAAATTTTTTAAAAATTCATATTGTTTAATTCAGGTTTAAAAAATAGTCTTCACTCTTTTTTAATGTATTAGACAATGCTTTATCAATTATTAATTTTTGGCTAGTCTTTCTTTCATGTTATTTTTGTTTACACTTGTATTGATAGATGTAATATTTTAATTTATTAGATTGTCAATTATTTTTGATGAGTATTTTTTTATATTATTTCTGTTGCCTTATTTAAATGAGTAGTAACTATATCAAAGACTATATTTGTAGGTTAATTATTTTGAAAAGAGGAAATAGATGTCCTTTCTTTCAAAGGACAATAAAAGCAGTTTTTTGTGTCATTTATAATTGCAAAATATATTGATAAACAAATGCAAGAAATTATTGGTGAAAATGGTTAAGCACTCAACTTTGATTTCTATTTTTTAGCACATGTGGATTCAAATTCATAACCAGGATTAATAAGAAAATTTCACTTTCAGTCAATAAATCTCTAGCCTTATAATTAAAAAATAAATATGTATTTCATACAACAAATATTTATTTCTTGGCAAACCTTTGTGCCTGTAAAACAAAAAAGAATGTCAAAAGGACGGTTTTTCCCTCAACACCGCTATTATTTTAACTACCTTCACTCCTCAGCGAGATTTGTTTTAAAAAGTGATGATTAGAGTTATAATAAAACCTACACATGAAAGTGAATATATACATTTTTTTTGTTTCTGAAAATTTACAATATTTTAAATGCTCATTGTTTACATTATTCGGACTAATGTCCTCATCTTTGTCGCCATATTTATCACAACGTTTCGGCCGTTGTACGCTCTGGTCTTCTTTACCACCCCAAGTCAGGGTGGACCTGGGAACATCAGCAATTAAGAGCTGGTAACAGATTTTAAATGCTATTTGTCTATATTTCTGAGATGAGGTATTATGTACACTATTTACATTATTTGGACTATTGTCCTCATCTTTGTTGCCATATTTATCATGTTTTGGCCATTGTATGCTCTGGCCTTCTTCAGGTGGTTGGAACATCGAACTGAACCCTTTATTTTGCTAACTAGGGTAGATTGTTCTAACATCAGGCGGTGGAGAACTTGGAGAGGGAAATTAACAGGAGATAACTGATAACTGACATCCATAAGACATGGCACGTGGAACTAGAACAGTCTACCTCGGTGAGCGAAAAAAAGAGCTCAGTTCAACATTCCAACTACCTGAAGAAGGCTGAAATGTACAACAGCTGAAACGTTGTGATAAATATGGCAACAAAGATGAGGACAATTGTCTGAATAATGTAAATGCTATTTATTAGATTGTTTATTTACAAGAATAATTTTATATTTATAACATTCTAAAAACTAATGCAATATTTATCATTTACCAATTCATAAAGAAATAAATATGAAAAAAAATTTTACTCATAAATTTGTAAACATTTACTAAATTATTAAAATGATCTCTATAAGGAAATCATTATTTACCATTTTATAAAGTTTAAATCAGTTGGCAATTAACCAATGCTTTAACAACCATTCCAATAAACAATCTAATAAGTTACTAATGATAAGTAAACAGAGTTTATTATTTTTGCTGTCAATTCTTAAAAACAAAGAAAATGTATAAATTCACTTTCATATGTTTAGATTTTATTACAATTTTAATCATTGCTTTTTAAAGCAATAAACATTGCTGAGAAGTGAAGGTAGTTAAAATACTAATGATGTCAAGGGAAAACCATTTTGACACTAAATTTTTTTGTGGGCACAAAGGTCCAAGTTGCCTATTTCTCAATTGTATTAATTACTTAAATTGAACATTATACAATAAAAATTCAGATTACTAAAGATCAGGTTATGGACTTATTGATCCACTTTTGTACAATGACTTTGCACTATAATTTAATCTTGTTTATTTTTATTGAAACTATTTTAATATATCAAAATATATGGCTACAGATATCCCTATATTAATCATTTATTTCCTTTAATTAAAATAAATTTTAATATTTATTTGGTAATTTGTTTCTAAGGCCAAATCATGCAAATTTTCTTTTAATGTACAAGTGACTTTTTAATAATAGTAATCGTCATTTTGGACTGCTCTCTAAACCTTATCATTAAACTGTTATAGGCACATACAAAATATTTGCATTCTGAGTATAGAAAGGTTAGTACAAAAACTCTTGCCAAAGAGTATTTGATCTCAAGTTTTCACTTCTACCAATTCTGATATCATCATCATTACTTGATTGATAATAAATTGAAATGATGTTCCTGAAGCACTATAAACCATTTCTTAAATGGCTTTGTCTTGGTTTTGTGTAAATGACTTTTTAATAATAGTAGTCTTGTAATTATAATTTAGGACTACTCTTCAAAACTCATTTTTAAACTGGTATGCACACACATTATCAGCATACTTATAAATTTAAAATTGATGACATTTTTGATAACTTTTACAAAATGTTTACAAATATGCAAAGGTTTTTCAACAGGATCTCTTATGTCTTGATTTTTTTCTGTCAAAACAATTTTTTTTATCATTAATCATATACTGAAGAGTAAAACAAGCAAAAAATAGTTCAGTATCCTTTGTTTCATCAAGTCTTAACAATTACCTTTTACATAAGATTAAAAATTCTATCTTTTTATGTTATGAATTTGGTAATTATATCATATAAGGGACAAGTATACAACATAAAGATATATATTTGTAATGGTGATATTAGCAGTTTATTTATATAGAAACATTTGGTATTCATTGAATGAACAGCCAGTGCTACGTCGTTGAAATTTATAAAATCTTTCTATTAAAACAATTTTTTTAGGAAAATAAGTTTCTCAAATCCAATAGCTATTGTCACTCATTCTAGTATTTATGTGGTCTTTTATTTAAAGCAGTTTTTAATGTCAACATATTGATTATGTCATCATTTTCTCTTTGAGTTACATGTCATATCCATTTTAGTTTTTCATGCTTCAAGTGTTGTGGTTTCTTTGGTAGAGTTCTTTATTTGTGATTCTGTAGTGCCAGTCCAAGATGCTCAAAGAAGTATGGTCCTCACTAAGACTTACAGGCTTCATATGCTTGAAACCATTTTTAACCAATGATTTGAGAAAGTTGTTGTATATAGATGACAGTTTAGATATTTTTAACAAGTTTGGTGCTATGCATGACCTCCATATGAAAGTCAATCTGTCAAGGTTATTTGAAAACAATACTCTAGTTTTTAGGTATTACCATTTAATATATATTACTAAAATTATATATGTTTTAATAAATTGGTCACATAACAAATTAGAAATTGGTGTAGAACTTGTAACACAAAAAAGCATGCATTACTCATATATGAACCATACTGAAAAAATAGTCATCTGAAAATTTTACAAATGTTAACTTACATTTCCCAAACATTTGACTAGTAGATTAAAAAAAAAAACATTTTTTTTTTATATGACCTCTTAAACATCTTGGTATTTCCTTCTCTCTTTCAGTGTCTGCTGCCCAGGTCCGTCCTGTTGTGATTTCCACGTTTCCACGGACAAAAGACCCATCAGACCATCCAGAAAGCAATAGCATTGATGGAGGGATGGGAGATTCAGTTCGGCCTCAGAACATTCAAATTGAATTAGAAAATTACAACCAAACTGCACCTCACAATCAGCCATACATAGGTAAACCATATTTATATTGTTACTTATAACCAACTATTTGATAGGTAGTAATTTAACATCTCTGATTTTAAATGTTAACTACTTAGAACTAGTATGTTTTTACCTGTTTCATATCCTGTATTGTTTAATTTTGTTTTTTTTTTTATTTCTAATTGTAGTTTTTAAAAAAATCAATCCCATTACCACCATCCTAAGGTTCATTTACATCATCAATGCCAATATATGATGTCATATTGGTGAAATATACATATTTCAATATATATATATATATATATAAATATACATATTCAATATATATATATATATATATATATATATATATATATATATATATTTTAATTGTTACTGTCAGAGTAAGAACGTCCTGGTTAAAGAAAGAAACAAATAAATTTGTTGTAGCACAGGATAATGAAAGTAAATTTAACAGGGCCAATTCTTTACTTTTAAATTCTTCTAACTTATACCAAAAACATTTGTAAATGATTTTCTAGTTTAGTCATCTTTTTGTGAGACCTGTCATTCTTTGTAATGCATGCCAAAAGTATTATTTAAAACATAAAGTATATTTATAAATTAAAAAGATTGATTCAAACAGTTTTGTCTTGATTGAAATTAATATTTTTAACATTTTCAATAAATGTAAAAATCCTGCAAAACAAATTCTTTATATAAAACATATCAGAGATTACATGACGATTATATAATGGTTGATATGCTATAAAACCACAGAGAATTAAGTTAAATAGATTTTTGTAAAAAAAATGAAAAAAAAAAATCGGTGTCAAAGATTTTACTATTGTATATATTTAGCTGATGACAAACTGTATCTGGCAGCAAGGCCTCTGATCAGAAGATAGGTTTTCAGGAATGTGGAGCCACCTTTTAATTGCTGTCGTTTTTAGGTCCACTTGACCTGGGGTGGTAGTACCTGTTAGGGTCCTAGTTATGGGGAAAATAGTGAACTCCCCAAACAAATATCAAAACATTAGGAGAGTATAAAAATACATTTTTATAGTAAAATGACTAATAATACATTCTATAGTAGAATTACCAACACTAACCTTTTTAGCAAAATGACCAACAATACTTTTTATCCATAGTTGAAGGCATGCAATTGCATTTAAAACATATTTAGTTGAAGCCATAAAATTGTTTTAAAAATATTTAGATTTCGACATTAAATAACACCTAGAGGTTGATATGCTGTTAAATAAAACCAACTATTTAGCTGACAATAACAAAAATTGTGTTTTACCAAAAATAAAAATAAACTGTTGATCCCAGTGCATTTCTGGAAGATATCAATTTTAAGGCAAGCAATCTTTGTAATTAGAGTGCTCAATATCAAAAGCTAGAGCATTAATAGTAACAAGTAAAATTAAATATTTATCTGTCCCTACATTGAGTTTTGCAGAGATCACATCCACTTGTCAGGGTGCTTGATAGTAAAATTTTGGTATCAAGCTTCCTGATGTGGATGTAATCTCTTCAAAATAAGGACAGATAGTTATTTATTAATCTATGTTTAGTTTTCAAGAAATGAAAATCAAACATTGTATGCAAAAAAAATCATTATTTTGTCTGTAGTAGGATTAGATAGTAGTAACTCCATATGGAAATATACATTTTTCTCTTTACTATGAGAGTGACAAAGAAAACTCTCTCTCCCTCTCTTCTCTACTTTCTTTCCTTCCTTCTATTGTTCCTATCCTTGGTAACTGACATAACCCAGATATAGCTTATGTGGGTCAGTAAATGTTATTAAAAAAAAAAAAAAATCAACCAATGATAACATGCCCCACCCAAAATCAAATGGAAAACACAGATGTGTCAGCCCCAATAAAAACTACTACCTAATCTTACTACATGTCAATCAAGTGAAAACCCAGTAAAGTCTTATAAGAAATAATTGCTTGGTCTTAAATTAAGAATCAATTAAGACTTAATTGATTTTTTGACTTTGAGAACACATTTGCAGAGACAGAGTTGGGATCTTCCTGTCAGTCCAATCAGATTGATCTTCTACCATTAGTTCATATGTAATAGCACTGTTTCTTAGATGCTTATCTTATACAATATCTATTTAATACAGTATAACCCTGTTATAAATCATTTATTCAAGCCCATAAAATGTTATAAAAGGCAGGGTCATGCTAACTCCAGATTAAAAAAAAAAAACATTTACAAAGTACTCAAATGTAACAAATCTTTCATTAGTAACTTTTTTTAATCATTCTTTTCCAAGCAAGGTGATAATACCACTAAGATGATAAACTTCTTAGCTTTGCTTATTGACTTACCATTACTCCACTGCTGTTCTGCTAAGTTTAATTATTTTCTGTATTAAGAAAATCTTGCTGGTGGTAAGAGAATAAAAAAAATTTAAGTGAATCTTGGAATTTTCTTACCTAAAATTTATTTTGGCATCTCATTCTGAATTCTTAAGAAGGACTACAAGAAAGTAAAATTTCAGTTTTAGTTACCTATACATAAGTATGTCAATAATTTCATAGCTAAATGATGAAAAAAGCATTTATTTTACACAACAAATATTGATTTCTCAACATAATCTCCTCCTTTGTCAATATACTTAATTCCATCAAGAATATTAACCACATCAATTGAACATTATATGGTGAAAATTTCAGATCAAAATCCAGCTAATAACTGTCATACTACAAACTTATTGATCCACTCTCATTGAACATCAGAAAGAGATTTTAAGTAGCCAGGAATTCAGACACCCATGACTGGTTTGGTTGTTTTGTTTTACGGCATATCAAACTCAATGGGTTATTTAATGCTGACAAGATTTTTATTGCTGGTATTTTTTTTTTTTTTTTTTTCAAATGTATTGCTGGTAAAAAAAAATTTTCCTTCAAAAATCTATTTCTGGTAAAAAAATTTTTTTCCTCAAAAATGTATAGTAATATTATTTTTAAAAAATGTATTGCTGGTAATAGTTTTTTTTTTCTTGAAAAATTTATTTCTGGTAATAATTTTTTACAAAGTATTTCTGGTATTAAAACCTATTTTTACACTTTCATAGTGTTTTGACCCCAGTTTGAGGGTAAACTTTTTGCCCATAGCTGGGACCCTGACAGGTGCTACCACCCCAAGTCAGGGTGGACCTGGGAACATCAGCAATTAAGAGGTGGTTCCACGCTCTTCAAAACCTCCTGATCAGAGGCCTTGCTGTTGGATGTAGTTTATTGTTTTACCCAGGACACATTGATTGAATTATTTGTATAATGTAAATAAATTTACTAAAGAAATGCATTGAAAATTAAGAAAGGGATTGTCAGTAGTTACTGATGGAAAAAATAAATGCATTGTAAATAAACTTACTACAGAAATACTTTGAAGATTGAAAGGAAAATATTATGAATATAATAAGACTATCATATGTGTAATTTATCTTGATTTTAAATTCTCTGTTGCAGATGATCACAGTATGTTAAGGTGTCGGAAAGATGGAGACAGGCTAGATGAACATAGCTACAGAAGGTGTTTGAAGGATGAAGACAGTGATGAAAATAGTGCAGAACCCCCAGAGGGAGATGAATTGTATAATAATAGTGCAGCCTATGAGGCTGTTCCTGCATCTGAACCCAACTTGTCTTTATTACCTAAGAAAAGTGCTCTGAAAAGGACTATGGGTGTTGGAGGTGGAGCTGACTTGCTACCATCACCAACTGCACGCTGTCATCAAATAGGGGCTGCAGCAGCCATTCACAGTTTGTCACAAAAAGTGGACTTTTCTGACAGACCTGCCCAGATTATCCCCACAATGACACACTCACCTCACTCAGTACCGTCAAACAAGATTCCTCGACCAAAAGTCAGAGTTACTGTGTAAGTTTATATCTACTATATATTTTTTCTTCTTTTTTCTTTTCTTCGTTTTCTTCCTTTTTCTTCTCTTTTCTTTTTTCTTTTTTTAATTTTTTCTTTTTGCTTTTCTTTTTTCTTTTCTTTTTTCTTTTCTTTTTTCTTTTCTTTTTTCTTTTCTTTTTTCTTTCTTTTCTTTTTTCTTTCTTTTTTTTTTTTCTTTTTCTTTTTCTTTCTTTTTTCTTTTTCTTTCTTTTTTCTTTTTCTTTCTTTTTTCTTTTTCTTTCTTTTTTCTTTTCTTTTCTTTTTCTTTTTTTTTCTTTTTTTTTTTCTTTTTTTTTTTTTCTTTTTTTCTTTTCTTTCTTTTTCTTTTTCTTTTTTTTCTTTTCTTTTTCTTTTCTTTTTCTTTTTTTTTTCTTTTTTTTTTTTTTTTCTTTTTTTTTCTTTTTTTTCTTTTTTTTTCTTTTTTTTTTCTTTCTTTTTTTCTTTCTTTTTTTTCTTTTTCTTTCTTTTTTTCTTTCTTTTTTTCTTTCTTTTTTTCTTTTTTCCCTTTTTTCTTTTTCCTTTCTTTTTTCCTTTCCTTTTTCTCTTTTCCTTTCTTCCTTTTCCTTTTTCTTCTTTTTTTCCTTTCTTTTTTTCCTTTTACTTTTTGTATTGATTTCTTAGACTATTTTTTTGGTTTCTCCCAATATACCTGTCAAAACTAGGAGCAAAAAAACAACCTTCTTTGTTTATTACAGGTTTTTAAGACGCAAAAAGAAGACATTCCTCATCCTTTTTACAGATTTACTTGTATTAAAAAAATTAATACTTTTTCTACAGGATACTAATAAAGATGAAATTATTTTCTTTATATACATAAGAATACATATTATCTACAGTCAGTACATTTTTGCAAACACATTCTGAAATTATACAATCTTTTTTACTTTATGCAATTTGACATTACATAGTCTTGTTTGGTATGTGCAAGTGCAGTTTAAAATTATAGTCTTCTTTACTCTATGTAAACAGATTTTAAAATTATACAGTCTTTTTTTTATGCAAGCACTTTTTGAAATATACCGTATCCTTTATGCAAGCACATTTGGAAATTATACAGTCTTGTTTACTCTATGCAAGCATACTTTGAATTTATACAGACTTCTTTACTCTATACAAGAACACTGAGTGTGTCCAAATTAAGGGAACTAGAAGAACAAGTGGGACAAGTTTACATCCAGAATCCTCTTACCTGGGCTCAAACCCTAATAGCACATACAACTATTTCAGACCAGAAATATTTACATATGTGTTCTTTTAATATTAACCCTTATCCTTCTGGTATCAGAGTAAACTGACATCTTTTATCCACATATGTAAACAATAATTGTAAACTATAATTTTGTAAAGTGAAACTTTCAGTGAATTGTGTTTGAAAATTTCTAAGTTTTCATCTGAAATCAAAAGAATATGAACTTTAAGCAAAATGGTTGCAATATAGGGGAAAAAGGAAAGGCTTTCATTTAAACTGATGCCAAGAGGATATGAATGAATTACTATTACTGGGGCAAGAAATGGTTTATAAATTTTAACATTTCCAAAATGAAATTGCTGTCTTTTTGTCATCTTAGATGACCATTCATTTTTTATTTTCATCAGCATGGCTGATGCTAACCTCCTGGAGAGAAACTCCTTGTACCTTCTTGGACTCACATTTTCCACTGACATGAATTGGAACAATTATATTAAATCGGTTGCCATGTCTGCTGCTAGGAAAGTTGTCATGCTAGACAATTTTTCTTGACAGAATCTATCTTGCACATTTATAAATCTACCATTCCTCCATACAATGAATTCTTCTGCCACATTTGATCTGATGCTTCTTCTATATATCTTGAGATTCTTGACAAAATCTAAAGAATAGTCTGTAAAGGCAATATTGGATTGAAATTGTGGATAAACTCTCTGAAGTTTGTGTTTATTCTGTTGTTTTGTTCAAGTACATTCAATTGTCTTGGTCATTTTCAAGAACCATGTGGTGTCTGTGTGGTAGGCACATATATATGTATGTAATTAAAAAATATATAGAAATGTCCTTAATGGCAATGAATGCAGAAAGGCTAACATTTAAAATCATTTATTCATATAAGACTCATATAATTTAGTTCTGGATTTTAAAATAAACTTTAAAAATTAAAAAAGAAGAACTTTAACATTGAATGACCCTAACCTGGATCAATACTTCAGCCCAAGTAAGAAAGTTTCAAAGTTGATTTTCTTGGCAAGCAGACCACTTAGCTCTCTCACCTCTGGAAGATTAATGTAACATTATCAGCCCTTCCATCCTCACATGCATTCCTTACTGAACAAAGCTTAGTACATATCAAGTCCCATCTAATTTCTCTATTGATTTGGGTGCTCTGTATATATGAGAGGGATAAAAAAAATAATTTAAAAAATCTTAAATTGAATATACTTTTAAATATAATGAAGACTGACTTCTGTCCGAGTTTTTTTTTTACTCTCAATCTTAAAATAAAGTTAAAATAAAAACTAAATTATTATAATTATTTTATTAAGTGGAAGGGAAAAATCACAGTGGGTAATTACTGTTCATATAACAACATAAACAAATCACTAATCTCTGTCAATTGAAAGATGTGTTTCAATGAAATTCTCAAAATGTTAAACACCCTTTAGAAAAAATATATTCAGTCGCATATAAAGGTTTAATCAATTTTCATAAAAGTTAAATTAAAAAGAATGGGAGAAAATCTGATATCAAAATAATTTTTTTTTTCTATTATGATGGAGTAAGGAGTATACTGCCAGTGACTGTGGACTCATCCAATATAAAAAGTTCCATGTTATGAGATTGTGAGTAATCATATTGGAGTCAGTCTTCATATTAACTATGCAGACATTATGGCAATAGCCTAAGCATTAGGTATAGAAAATACTTAATGAATTATATTATACCAAGTATGAGTCTGTGTTATAACCATAACCTTATAATAGGAAGTTATAATAGTTGGTGACAAGGATACTCAAACAAAAGCTCAGGATAAAACCGTAACATTATAACTGAAGTTATAATAGTTGGGGAGGAACTTGAACTCAAGCATGGTATAAGAATCATCACATCACTGCAGTTATAATAGTGGTCAAGCAGATTTGTGATAACAAGAATTAAAGAATTTCAACCACGTTGGTTTTAAAAAAATTTCTGGCAGATAGGGAGAAAATTTTGGCTTCAATAGTTGAAATTCAACAGCAGAAACACTAACAAGAACAACAAAATACCAAACAGTTGCTACAGTCACAAAAACAACAAGAGTTATTGGAAGTGGTTTTGAAGAAAAATGGTTCAATGTCTCTTATGCCAGACACGGTGCAAAACACCATATCAGAATTTGTATACAATCTTGATGATGTACTGATTTCTGCTGCATATTTTTGCAGACATGAAGAAATATTTAGTCAGGAATGCAGTGGCTGGGAAGAAGATAAAAAAAACTAGGTTGTTAAGAAAAAATGGCCCCAATAGAGTATGAAAAAAACTGCAATTATAATTTATCAAGAAAACCTGGTGAAATATGGTTTGAAGACACAGAATGCATTCTGATGAAAATTTTTAGTGACAAGTTCGTTGGAAGTGCATGAATTTAACCAAAAAAGAGGATGAAGATTTTGTCATATGCAGGTACCATCAACAGAGAATATGAACAATTTAAACTAAAGGAAATGACTGGATATGTTCAAGGGATTCATTTTTGTGCAAGGTCTAACAGACAAGCAGTACGGTTTGTGGGAACATTCAGAAGAGCATTAAAAAAAAAAAAAAACGCAAGTCTGGACAAATTAAATGAGGAGGCACGTCAAAATTTTTTGAGAGTTAGGTATTAACTGATAATTAATACCTAACTCCAACACACCATCAAGCATGTCACCGGAGGAATTAATGTTTGCCAGAAAGGTTAAATCAGTGTTTGACAAGTTATTGCTAAGTCAAAAATTATGAATAGTGATAAAAGTGACACCAATATTTTCAAGGTCGGTGACAAAGTATTCCTTAGAGCATACAAGGATGGAAAGGAAACGTGAAAAGATGACATAATAGCAGTTAGACTCAGAAAATTGGTTTACATGATGAAAGAAAAAAAATTCTAGCATAAAAGGCACCAAAATCAGCTGAAGAAAAGATTAACTGATGAAAGACTTGAAGAACCAGTTAAAAATGCTATACAACAAATTTGTTGTGCTAGTACCAAAACAAATCATGGAGCCAACAAGGACAAATTCACAGAAAAGAAAATATAAAAAAGGAACTAGAAGTGGGTCCAAGACAGAAACACTACAAATAAAGTATGTTGGTGAACTCTCCAGAAAGAGTAGTAGTGGAGATACTAATATAAAATAAAAATAAAATATATTTATTTAATAAAGTAGTCATCTCAAAAATGAGGATGTTGTGGAGTAGAGTACATTCGCAGTGACTTTGTGAACTCATCCAATACTATAAAATATTCCATGTTATGAGATCGTGAGAAATCATATTGGAGTTGATCTTCATACTAACTATACAGATGATATGGTAATAGCCTTAAGCATTACATATAGTGAAATGATACAGAAACTTTTGTACATCCCTCATGCAAGGGAGATAATCAGTTCATATTATACAAGTTATGTACCCTGAATTCAAAACGCTTTTACTTCATCTCAATATTTTCAAGTAATATTCTTCAAAATTTGCCTTAGAAAAAATTCCACTTATTATTTTAAGTAAATTGTAAATTTAACAGCAAATTAAAAATTATCATTAATTACACAGTTCCTCAAATTTTTATTTAGATTACTGTATTTTAGCATATAAGATCTTTTTTTTTTTTTTTTTTGATAATCATATATTTATATATCACTTTTTTAAATTGTTACAGTACAGATAATGACAGTGATAAAGAAAACCTCCCTGGCAAAGATGGTTATTATCCTGACTATGATAATTTACCTGGGGATGAAGATAGTGATGATGACGACTCTTCCTCTGATGATGGAGATATCCACTACATCGACAAGGATCCCAGTAAGTAGTCTCCATTTATAAACAGTAACATTGCAATATATTTAAACTCTATTTGTTTTTAAATACTTTACATTCCATAAAACTAATACTGGTATCTTCCAATGAAAAGTCTTTTTGTACTTGTATTGAAACTTGAAGCTTTCATATTGAACATTACATTTTATTTGCTCTAGTATTTGGTCAATTACTCTTGGTCAGTGTGGAGTGCAAGTGGCCTCACATCCCTGTCCAAAACATAGTTCTTACATTCTCATCTGTATGTATAGAGAGAGAGACTTTGTTCCCATCCTTGCAAAAGTGGATGCAGCTGTGAGCTCATATGCATTCCCTGGTCTGGTGTGAATTTGAGTGCAAAGTCTATTCTGACAAGTTTTTTTTCTCACAAAATTAGAATAATACTCTTCAGATTTTATATGCATTATTCTGTATGTATTGAGCACTTGAACAAAACCACTCTCCCATAACTGCCCATATTTAGCTGAACAGTGTTTACAGTAAACTATTATCATGCCCATTATTAACTATAAAAAAAAGAGCTACATATGGGACTTGAAATGGTATGACATTTCATAAGAGCCAACAATCTTTTCACTACCATCCTACAGGGTACCATCTTAGATAAAAGAAGCAGCTAGAAAAAACTGGTCACTGAGTGAACGAAGATCATTCAGAGAGACTCAGACACTGGCACTCATCCAAATCATATGGAACAAGTTGACTCAGCTGCTCAGCATCCCTACAACAACAAAGTCATGAGATTGATTATATATGGAATATTCATTTGATATTCTTCACTTCTTTAAAATCATTTCACTCCAAGAAAGACAATAATGCTACTAAGACACAAGTGGTTACTGGAAGTGAAAGAAAATGAGAAGAATTTAGTGAGGAGAAAGGACAATAAAAGAACAGTATTTAGGAAAATAGTGACTTGATTGATGTTGCATGTAAAATTTTGAAGATTGTAAGTGACAAGGAAGCAAGAAACCAGAAGAGAGTTCTACAGGCAAGAGGTGCAAGAAAAGAAACTATTAGAATAAAACTTATAGTTACGTCTAGCTAATTCAACAGTAAAACAATGAGACCTATTTGCCAATCTAGTAGTATGTTTAACTTCCTATGGTTAGGATTACCAAGGAGGAGAGTTTATTAGATCAACTGCCATGAAAATATTTATAATATTTATATTTATAATGGAAAGTAATATTATTTTATGACTCCTGGTACATTTGTCCTGCAATCAATATTTAGCAAACTTATAATCATAGTTTAGATATATTACATGGGTGGGGGGATATCAGTTTAAACTGATACCAGGAGGATATGCAATTTTTTACCAGATTTTGCAATTTTTTAGGGTTAATTTTTTTTTTTTTTTTAGCAAGTTTTGACACTCACTCTGCATATTTGTATTGAAAATCAGTAATTAATGCAAACATTGATGGCAGAAGTACAACTGGTAATGAGAAATTTGTAGTCCTTTGCTTTGATCATAAATATGAAAGGTGCTGAAAAATTCTTGGCCTGACTCATTTCTCAAAATCTGACAAAACAACAAATTTTATTTTATTTTGAAAGGTTTTCCTTAGTCAAACTGAGAACTTTTTGGCCCTTCCTCATATAAAAATTTAGATTTTTATTTTTATTAATAATTTTATATATTTTGAAGAGGACAGTAACAAATATTAAAGAGTGTAGAAAGGGTTTTTATAAGCAATAAGTTATTTTGTTTACACATTCTCATTCTTACCACAGTTGTAGAATTCATTAGATCTCTCTTTCCACCCTTTTCAATATTGTTACTCCCCTTACCACTGATGTTGCATTCATTAGATCTCTCTCTCTCTCTCTCCTCACCTTCTTCAATATTGTTACTCTCCTCTTCTTACCAGTGATGTTGTATTCACAAGATCTTGCTTTCCTCCCTCTTCACTATTGTTACTCTCCTCTCCTCTAGTTATTCATCACTTCTTTTATACTTCTGTAAACTTATGTAATATTGGCTGTCATCTATATTGTAATAATCCAATTTCTCTTTGGGGTATGTTTGTTTGTATAATATAGCAAAACATAGTACATTGCAGTTATATATTTATGTAAGCACATTTTAATTGTATTGGTTATTTAAAGAATAAAACAATTTCTGGTCAAATTTGCAACTTTAATAATAATTGGCATCAGCTTTCATACTTGTCCCATAATAATGATTCTTTTTTTGTTTTGTTTTTTTACAACAGAAAATCATATCATTATTGAAAAAGAATATAAAAAAAATTAATAGATTACTAATTGCTGCATAAAATCATGACACTTTTATTTTGTAACAAAAAAAAAAAAATTTATTATATATTTTTATATAAATTCTTTTTTATTTTTTACAAAATATATTAATCATAGGTATCATTGTTTTATGCAAAAATTATTAATATTTTCATTTCACTTTATTTTCCATCACAAATAGTTTTTCACTTTGAGTGGCTGGAGAACTCTAAATTGTAAGCATGTATGTTAAAAAATATTGCTTTGAGTGGCTAGAGAACTCTAAATTGTAAGCATGTATGTTAAAAAATATTGCTGAATGCTAGACACCTACTGAGTAGTTTTACAAGTAAAGCTGACTTTAAATTTTACATGTAGTTGTAGTTCAATTGATTAGAGAGTTGTCTCCCTTTTATTGTCGGCAAAAATTATAAATTCTATTAAGTAGGCCGTGGTGACTTTATACTGAGATCAAGGGCTGCAAATGTATTCTAAATCAGAATTTTCAGCATCCATCTCATTTTACTTTCACTAAACATAAAATACAATTAGATTTGTTATAATAAAATTAATTTAAATAAATTCTATTCCTTGTTAAGTTTAATCTTTCTCTGAGAATTCCTTTGCTCTGATTTGGAGATGAGATTTTATTTATTTTTCTTCAGATTCATTAGGTGCAAAAGTAGCTCGTCATGATAGCCTGGCACGATTTTTGAACAATCGTCCATCACGAAGGGAGCTTGTAGAGAAGAATATAATTCCTACAAAAACAGAAAAAGAGAAGCAAGAAGACAGAGAGGCAATTGGGACAAAACTGACAAGGTAAGTTTGTTTTTTGGTTTTCTTTTTTTTTTCATATCAAATTATTTTTAATAAATGCAGATTTTTAAAAAAAGCAAAAACTGCTACAATCTGTTTAATGGAAGATGATCTGGGTTTTGTAAAAAGCAAGATTAACTTAAAACTTTTAACAACTCAAAACTTTTTTTTATATTTTTTTTTTTTTTTGTTGTTGGGGGTAGTAATTTTTTTTTTTTTTTTCCCATATCCACTTTTTCCTTTTATAATCTTTCAGTTGTTATCTTTCTGTGACTATAATATATTTCTTAATTCAATCGGCAAAATGTTTTCCATTTGGTCTGTCATCTTTCCACTATGTTTATTCAAGATTGAGCGGAAGGGGGGGGAGGGACCTCTTTTGATGACTTTTTTTTTTTTTAATCAATTCACCTCAAGGCAATAATGTCACTAAAATGCAAGGGGCTACTGGGAGTGAAAGAGAATTTATAAAATGAAATGTTTCAATGTTGTAAAATTACCTTAAAATATTATTTTCAAATTAAAGGTTAATGCTTATAATTTTTAGCTATTAATGTTAAATAATAGTTTGGCAGACTATTATTTTTTAGAGAATTGTATTTCTGCTCTGACTTCCTCATTTTAACCTTTGAGGTCAGATACTGGAAAACAAAGGAAGTCAATTTTGATTGGCTAAAGCTAGTGTGGAAATGGTAGATAAAGGGATTTCATAGAGTTGGGTCTTACATGTCAAAGAATGTAGACCTGTTCCTGTCATGTCTGGAAGTGGCTTCTCAGTGGTGTGAGAGAGCGACCCCCACTGGCTAGTTAGAAAATGTACATGTCAATGTGTTGAATAAAATAGTTAAATTAAAATTCCTTTGTTAAGTTCTCTTTTATCTCCAAACTAAAAACTGATTAGCAATCACCTTGCTGAGAGAGGACACATTATTATTATGATTGAATCAAGACCGTCAGCCAAGAGCTCCCCAGAATGAAGGGAAGTATGCAACATTACTACTGTAGAAAGAGTACAACACAAAGTAGACTTCAAAATAAAAACGTTTTGTTTTGTAATCATCAGTTAAGATCAATAACTTGTGTATGTTTTCCTCTATTCAATTGGATGGCTTCTTGTGGACTCTTGAAATGGAAAGTTAATATATCCTTGTCAACTCTGTTACAGTCTGTGATGTTTTTTTTTGTTTTTTTTTAAACAATTAAGTCACTAAAAATTTTTTTTAAAGGATCATGATTATACTGTTGTCTGACAAATTGTCATTAACAACTCTATGCTTTCTGTGCCTTAGAGAGAGTGTGTGTGTGTGTATATACACACACACACACAGGATGCAATGGATAAATTGTTATCTAAATTATGCAAAAATGAAAATAACACTGACATCTCATTTTAACAGATATATTTACTGAAATTACACAAAAATATCTTGAAATACTAAAGAGTAAATTTATTCAATAATATCATCATTGGCTTCAACCATGACATATTAATGTTGAAATTGTTTCTCAAAGTATTCTCACAAAAAATCTTAGACATGATCACTATAACAAAACTTGCCTCTAGTCTTGTGCTGATGCTGCTATTGGGTGTCTCACTATGTCAGTTGATCTTCTTTAATCATTTTGTGTTTAAGTTTATGATCTGAAGAAATCTTAGGCAAAGCCAGTTGAAACACCCTTTGTGTTTTACAAGAAAATAAGGAAGGAAGGAAACAACTTTTATGACAGACAACTGACTCTTTTTTTTTTCTTTTTTTTTTCTTTTTCTTTTTTCTTTTTCTTCTTTTTCTTCTTTTTTCTTTTTCTTTTTCTTCTTTTTTCTTTTTCTTCTTTTTTCTTTTTCTTCTTTTTCTTTTTCTTCTTTTTTTTTTTTTTTTTCTTCTTTTTTCTTTTTCTTTTTTTTCTTTTTTCTTTTTTCTTTTTTTTTCTTCTTTTTCTTTTCTTTTTTTCTTTTTTTTCTTCTTTTTCTTCTTTTTTTTGTAGGAAGAACTTAATTTATTAATCAAGTGTTACAGTAACCATTTTGACCCTTCTTAATTCTGATACTGTGGTCTCCCTAACTATGACTGGTTTAAAAGTTTGTAGGTGTCAGGATTATTTAACATCTTTCCAAAAAAAGGCTGGTAACTGATAGTTGGTTCAACAATTCAATTACGGAACTTTGTTCTTAAGCCTACAGAAACAAGTTGATCTCTAAAATTTCTTCTTGATTGCCAGTTTGCAAATAAAGATTTCTTAGGTTGGAGAAAATTTCTGAAGTTGACCAAGTTCTTGTGTGTGTGTGGAGAGAGAGCATTGTTTTTCATCTTTTTTACTTCAGGGTGCACTTGTAGAATAATTAAATTCTGAGGTGCACCTTAAATTTTAATAGGGAGAAATTAGTCATGAAATTTGAAAATATAAAATTTTGGTTTAGCATTCCCAAAGAAGATTAGCAGTACAGTTTTCATTATAGGGATTTATGAAGAATCTGTTATTTTTTTTAAATTTTATTTAGAGGCTAGTAATGACTAATTTAAATCCCTTGAGGTTGGCAAAAGGGAATGGATTATCCAGTCCTTAAAGATTAAGGAATTCAGCATCCAATTTAAGATATTACATGACTTAGACTAGGAAGCCATATGCTTGGTATCTTTAGCTTTTTAAAAATAAAGATTTTTTAAATATGAAAATAATTCACAAATTACACTTCTGTTAACTTGCATGCACCTGTCTACATTTTAGGGTGCATTAGTATGCTCAAGCACACCAGCTGAGAAACACCGGTGTAGAGAGATACACACACACACACACACACACACACACACAGTCTTATGACTATACATTAAACTTAAAACAGCATTTAAGAAATTGAATATGCAGGTTTTTAAAAAACAGGTTGTACCCTAAAACATATGTATATCTTGATTGTAAATAACTTTTATTGTCCTCTGATAATTATTCACAATCTCACTTTTGTGTTTCAATTGTTCAAATATAAATTTGTTGTTATCCATTGTTAAAGCCATTTTCTAGATTTATGAGAAAGAGAGAGTGTGCGTGCTCACACACACACACCATAGGCCAAAATTTTAGGGCCAGTCTCTGGATTTAATAATTAGTAACTTTCATACCATCTTTGATTTAATTAATTCCTACTAAGCTTGGATGTTGAAACTATTTAGCCCATTAATGCAGTGTATCTATTTTGGCCTAAAGTGTGTGTGTGTGTGTGTGTGTGTGTGTGTGCACACACATACTACATGTATACTAAGGTCTGCTCAGCATAGTTTCAGTTCTGTGGGTGTTAGGCAAGCACAAATGTGTCTGAGCAGACATTTGCAACAGGGATTGGCTAGTCACCTTAAGAGACTGGTGTACTCAGAAACAAGCAGCTGGCCCTCCTGTTTTTAAGGCAATGCAAAATAACATTGACTCATAAGATACAAACATTTCACTTTGATTAAATCAGCTACATCCAAAAATTCATTTTAATGACTTGATCTTAAGTGCAATTGAAATATTTTTACTAGTGTCATTATTCTTCACAAGAAGTCTCAAAGAATTGTACAAACATGAAGTGACAGATTCCATTCAGCACCAATAGAGAACCAAGAGTTCCATTACACTCTTCACTGCCAAAGCCTGTTGAAGATGCCAATTATTTTTTTTTTTTACATAGTGCTGAAATTTCTACAAAGCGGCAATCAAGAATTGATTCACTTCTTTTTTTTCTTAACCTGGTGTGTAGCAATGAACTGTAACTCATAAGATATAAAGTTCAGATATGGGCAGCACCAATATTTTGTAATTACATGGTTTTTCTGGTTGATTAAGGATTTTTTTTAGTGTGTTTGTTGAAGAGGATATAAATAAACATGAAATTATAACTTATTCTTATCTAAACATTTATACCTGGTTACTGAAAAGGCAGATATTGATAAAGTTAGTAGTAATTTGAAAAATAGAATTGGCAAAACAGTTTGATCATTGCAATTTATATTTTTTAGCTATTGTTAGTAAATTATTTTCTAAGTGTTCATATCCACTTTTTCCTTTATAACTTTTTTTAGATTATCATGTTTCTTAATCCAACCAACAAAATGTCTCCCTTTAGGTTTGTCATCTTTCCACTGTGTTTATTCAAGAATGAGCAGAAGTGGTAAAATCTCTTTGATGATTTATAAAATGTTAATGCTTTTCGAAAAAGACTGAATCTAATCCTTCACATGCTGTCTGATCATTAGCTTGTTAAGCACATTCTTGTTCTACTGGCAATTTGGTAATAAGGACTAAATGAATTCCATGTAAATCCTTTTCATAGGAAGGAATATAATTGATTTCAACATGTAACTATTCCTGAAGGGTTTTCTTCTTAAAACCAACAGCAAACTCAACTAATTTTTGCAAGCGTTTATTTTTCTTTTTGTTATTTGCTGTAAAACACAATGAAAAATAAAATTGAATATTAGAAATGTTAAATAAAATTTAGGTGACTGTTTTTGATTTCCTAAGAAATAAAAGGTTTGGTCTTATAAACAATATCAATATTTATTTAGAGCAATAATAAATATAATACAGATCTGGTAACGTGTGTCTTTCTGATCAGGAAATATTTCAATGAGGATTTTCCGGAATTGTGTACGCGGCCAGGCATGTTGTTTTAAATGACTAAAAATGTTATCATTCAAATGTAGAATCAAGCGTCATGAAAGTGAGTTTGTGGTGTGACCAACATAAATATTATTTAATCCATTGGAGATACAATCTCTCAAATGGCACTTGAATTTGTAAACTATGTTGGTTTTTTGCAAATCACTAACGGAGAGGGGGGGAAGAATCATTGCGAATAATTAAGTTGGATATGCTAGATTTAGTGTAGTATATGATTAACCTATTTTTTTTGCTAGGATATGTTGTAGATATATCAGTATTTACTAATTTTTTTAGTATATTTTCATATTATTTATAATTAGTATGCATTTGACTATGATATAGGAAATTAATGTTTAGGATTAGTTGAAGCCAGATTATATATATATATATATATATATATATATATATATATGTGTTACCATGATGTTGTCTCAACCCTTAGAAGAAATCTTTTGTTGCTCTTCAAAATTGAATGTTAATATTAATTGTTCATATAGTCCAGTATTAAGAGTGATTATTTTATAATCTGCTGGACAATCTCATCACAGATGAAGAAGAGACTAGAGACAACAGAAATGTGGTTCTAAGGTGGATGCTTAGAATACCATAGACTAAACACATCAGCAATGTTATAGAATATGGAAACAAAATGGTTACTTCAACTTAGAGATAGTTGGTATTTCTAGGGCACATAAATTTGAAAAGAAGGCTTAAAGAATTTGACACTCACAGGACATATAGAAGGCAAGAGAGGCAGAGGAAAGCAGTGCATAACCTGTTTAATGAGCTTGTTTAAATAGTTTTCAGAATAGGGATTGATAGCAAAAAATGAAACTTTACTGCGAGCTACAAAGGACAGAAGTTTGTGGAGAGCCATGATCACCTACATCCAGAAGAGAGACAGTACATAGAAGATGATGATGATAGTCTTAACCTTTTAGCTACCTTTTGGTTTTACTGTCATAGTGGATCTCTCTTCAAGTAAAAATAACACAATTCATTAATTTTTTTTTAAATATGACAAATCTATTAAATTTCACATTTTATACCAATGGTAATATTAGCCATTTCTTCATAAGGAAACATTCAGCATTCATTGACTGAGCAGCCAATGCTAATCAAGTTAAGTTTTTCTTCACTCCCTGACCATTGGATTGGGGTCAAAGTGTAGTATCTGCCCTCAGCAAACAAACTATATTTTATCTCTCAATTATCTTTGTCTTTGGAAACAACACAACAAATAAATGAGGGATGCTTGGTCCTGGGGATTCTAACCCTGCAGCAGCACCTCCCTTATTGCACCAAAGAGGAAGGGCTGGTGGATATCAATGCCTGCACAACTTTGGTTGTGGGGATTGGGCAATTTTTGGCCTTAATCCATATGTACACACTTGGGATCCCCACATAAAACTGGCCTTGTGCCACATTTCTGTCATCAAGGTGGGATGAGTAAATACCAAGTGGAGTAACTGCTCTCTTCATTTCTAATTGTAATTTCTTTATAAGGAAACATTTTGCATTCACTGAATGAGCAGCCAGTGCTACTTTCAATTGAAATTTATAAAATCTTTCTATTATAAAACTTTCTGGAAAATAGGTCTCTCATGTCCAGTAACTATTATTGCTCTTTTCAGTATTGATGGAGACTTCCTTCTTAACCCTTTCTTTAAAGTAATGTGGCGCATCAACATCTTGATTGTTATTTTTTCAAGTGTACATGTGATATCTATTTTAGGTATTGCTTTTTATTTGGTAGAGTTCTTTGTGATTTTGTAGCCCCAGTCCACAAAGATTGAAGAAGTATGGTCCTCGCTTAGACCTACAGGCTTCAAGAATATTATATCTCTATTAATTTTTGATTTGCATTTTTCATCATTTTCAGTTGCTTTGCATTATGACTAATCTTCTTTTTAATTTTTAATCAATTTCACCCCAAGCAAGACAGTAAAGGGGCTACTGAGTGTGGAAGAATTATGAACAGGAAGAGAAAAGAGTAATCAGGAGAACAGTAGAGATTGATATTGCATTTAAATTTTTGCAGATTAAAGTTGGCTGGAAAGCATGGAACCAGAAGGAAGTTCCACAAGTGAGAAGTGCAAGAAAAGAAACTGTTAGCATAGAATTTATGGCTACATTTAGCTAGCTCAACTGTAAATTGGTGAGATCTTAATGCCAGTCTAGTATTGCAATAAAAATTCAAAAAGTCAAAGTATCATAGCAAAGAGCTCGTCCTAATATTTGCAATGAAAGTATTTATAGCAAAGGCATAGAGAAGGCAACCTTATGGCAATGGGAAAGTGACTGAAGACGAGCCACCAGATCAGGACCAATAATATTGCTGATTCTTCTTTGGATTTCATCAAGAATTTCTAGATATTCAGCAGACACACCAAACCATATGTGGCCACAATGTTTTAATTATGGATGAATGGTAGACTTATAGATATGTATGATAGATTCTGGAGAGAAAAATTGTATGACACAGTGAACCAACTTTCTTAGTAACTGACCTAGTGATGGATTCAATATAATCTTTCCAATTCATGTTAGCTGAGAACATTAGTTCAAGTCATTTTCCTGGAGGTTATCATCAGCCATACTGATTGAAGGCAGAGAGGAATCTCTCAGATGATTAATGGAGAGAGGTTTAGTTTTGGAGACATTAAATTAACAAGTCATCTTTTGCCCCAGTTAACAATAGACTTTACAGCCATTATTATACTGCACAAACTGGAAATGATGAATAAGCTCTCAGTGAGGCTTGAATTCTTGTTCCTTTTTACCTTGAAAAATATATCCTGATAGCTGCTTTAACCACATAAGCAATGAGATCTAATGATTGGTAGATCAAAATTAACCATATATCCCAATCATGTAACACCACCATATATGATGCTTGTTATTTTGCTTGTATATACTAGTAGTATTAGAAATATTATTTTGAATTTGATAAAGCATTGGCAAGCATTATTAATTTTTGCTTAGTATATAGATATTAGTATTCAAAACTTATTACTAATACTACTAGTGAATCTAAAGAAAACAATATCAAGAAAATAAGAAATAAGCTTATATGGTCAAGTTTGAATTTCTATCACTTGTTGGTTACTCTAACTTTTTTAAATCATTTCACCACAAGCACAACAATAAAGCCACTAAGACACAAGGGGTTACTGAGTGTGAAAGAATATGAAAAAATAAAACATTAAGGAGAGAGAACAATTAAAAAAAAAATCAGAAATTAAGATGACAGAAGATAACGATTAACATTGCATTTAAATGTTTGAAAGTCAAGGTTGACTGGAAAACAAGAAGCTGGAAAAGAGTTCCACAAGCTATTTGAACTATAAGTGTTATGATAGTAAGATAGACTTCTTGAGTAAAAGCATTTGGAATTGAGTCTTTATTTACTTCTGATGCTGTTTACTGACACTCATAGAATACTGTAATGTAAAGCAACTAAAACTAAACTGAAAGAAATATTAGTTAAAAAATTACTAGTGGTTGACAATGTTTCCTCTAATAAAATTTCAAGATAACATGTTTCCAATGCTGGAATGCTGCTAAGTTTTGATATTAGTATTTCTTACAATAACTAAAATGTTAAAAATATATACATAAATGCAATTATAATCCATAAACAAATTTTGAAAATTTGAAAAACCAATAAAAAGTAACAAGTAGAAGACTTTTATTGCACTAATGGCCATAAAAGTACCATTTGGTTACCAAGTTGATTTCAATGTTTTTGGGAAGCAAACAAGAGAATTTAATGCAGTTATCTGCTTCCTTCTCTCCCTCTCACTTACTCAGGAAAGATAGCTGCTCTGTGATACTGCAATATGCTGCAAATTGCATGCTTTCAATAAACATCAAAGTTAACTGGTGCTACTTTGGTTTTTATCCAACTAGACACATTATCTGCAGTTAAAAACCCATCCTATTTATAAGAATAGTTTCATAATGACCGTCTGTAATTACATGCAATTCATTGTTCTAGATTATCAGTGGACTATGAAATATTGTATTAAATCCAAATATGAAGGCATCTGACTTGAATTACCTCTGACAGTGAAAACCCATCTATGGATTATGTTTGCTTGAATGTTGTAGATATTTATGTTTGAATCATATTATTCTAATTATATTAATCTGTCCATAAATGAGCTTATTTGTAAAGTAGTCAGATAAACTCTTTGAACTGCATACTTTCAGTTTAGTGCAAGCCATAACTGGCCTTTGTTTGTTGTCACATTTTCTTGGGTGAAAATGTATGGAAATAATTGATTTTAGTTTAAACATTTACTAGTATATAAAAAATATCAGCATTTTTACCTGTTAAGCAAAAAACCCTAACCACTTATGTTAACAGCAAGCAATTGCTTTCAAAGATTATAATTTACTATACTATTCTTGGTCCATACAACTCCTAGAATTGATTACAGTTAATCAGCTTAACAAAGTAATTGTAGAATACTCACAAAGTAAATTTCTTGTCATTTATTTTACATTTTTCTATTGATAAAAACAGTTGTGTATAGTCAACTATAAAAACACAAACAAAAAATGCCCACAAAACTGCTTAGAAGTTTTTTTGAACTGAACTACATGATATACCAGTGGCCTTCCTAGGCATTTTCTATCCCTCATCTCTCTTTTGCATCATCAACTGGTATCTCCACTAATGTCCCTTTAGTATGCAATTGTATTGTGACTAGTTAGAGCTAGTACCATTACTACTGCTGTCTATTGGTACTTACTGTTAGACCAGTAATTTTGGCAGTCTGGACCAACAGCCTGATTCCAAATCCAGTCAACAGTGGGCTTCTGCTGGCCCAGCCCCGACAGACGACTATGAATGCAATTTTTTACCATCATTACCTCCTTCATCACCGACATCTTGTGCCACTTTGGTTATTGTTGAAGAAACTCTGGGGTAAATATTCTTGCTCTTGCTTTAATTTAATTTCTTTAATTACAGACTGAATATTCTTTTATTAATTATTATCATCTTGATAGCCTTAAGTTTTTTTTTTTTTTTGGGGTTAATTACATATTTTTTAAATTTTATTGCAAATTTAATCATTTTGTTTTTCTTCTAAATTTTATTATAATTTTGACCACTTTAAAAAATATGATTTAATTGATATTTATTTTTCTCTTTATTCACTATGCAGATGTGAAAAAGAAAAATATATATATTGCTTCTATATCAGCCTTAATATATATATATATATATATATATACTTTTTTAAAGTCTACACCCTAAATATATGTCTTGGTATATAGCAATATCATTCTTGTATTTATTGTGCATCTCAATCTCTGTATCTACACTAAAGTGATAAATGCATACATATTCATTAATGTGTTTGTAGTATATCAAACTTTTATGGTGTATGTGTGTGTGCATTTTCTCTCACTAGAATTTGTTGCAAACATACCAGATGGTACAAATATCTTGAATGTATTTTTGTATGTCGCTCTCTCTCTCTTAAATAATGGGTGTACACACACACATACACACAGTGTTTTAATAATTTATAATCTTGTTATAGAAATTTGAACTAGATAGAGGTTATCTTCAATCTAAATCCCAATCTTGTCAATAAGATTATTATAAACACTTGTACGAGGTCAAGAATGAATAGATAGAACATTTCACTACTTAGTATATTTTTCTTCATTAGTTTCATTAATGGCAGACATTTCTCTTTTGATTGTAAATTTAATCATTGATAGTTTAATGAGTTTGTTTGGAACAAATAGAATCATTTCCATTCACAAGGTTTTTTTTGTTTTGTTTGTGTTATTTTGTTTATTTTTGTTTTGTTAAGTTTTGTATGTTGTATTTTTGTTTATTTTTTCCTTTTATAGAATATATTTCATTTAACTTTTTTTTTCTTTTTTTTTCTTTTTTCTTTAATGTTTTATCACCCAGCCACAAAACATCAGTTAAAATTTTAGTCGTAGTTTTATGCAGAGGATGAATAACTTAAAAATATAAGAAAAGCATTAGTTTTAAAATAGCTTTGTTTCTTTTTTAGTTTGTGAGATAAAAAATTATCATTATCATACTCTGGTTTATTCCTAACAGGTGTCCTCATCATAGTTTTTAGTCACAAAGTTTCAACTTTCATAGTCCCTAACAATTTTCAAGTTCCTGTTGTATTGGTGTAACTTTCTGACAATTTTAAACTGAACTCTTTCTTCAATCCATGAGATTTTTTTAATGAATTTTTCCTTGTTAAAAAAATTGAGTATTTGAATTTTTTTTTTTTTATCTAATCATTATTCTATTATCAAAAAAAAAACATTGTTTAAAAGCAAAATATTGGAGATTTATCATTTTCAACAAAAGTAAATTATTGGGCATCTACCATTTTCCCATGATAAAAAATTGAATATTTAATTTTTTTATTACTATCTAATCATTATTCTACAGTTAAGAGAAGTGTACGATTTAAGAAAAAAAGAAAAACAATATTTCAACAGAAAAAATTTTTTTTCAAGTATACATATATATGAATCTACAAAAAGTTATGACTCTTTGTACAAATGTTACTTGTCTTATAATGAAAAAATGGCTGTCCTGGCAATGAATATGTCAAAACTAGTGAAAAACACCAGTGTGAAGGCATGAAATGCAAACAAGTTTAATATAATGGTGATTTTGTTCGTTTTGGAATTTTCCATTATTTGATTAGTTACTAAGAGGAATCAATCAAACAGTTTAGTATAAATCTTATGGAACACTCTTGTAATTGATAATCATTATTCTATTATTAAAAAACATTGTTTAAAGGAAATATATTGGGCATCTATTTTATCCCTATAAATTATTTTATGAAAGTTCATTTACATAAATTAATTTTTTTAAAATAACAACCACATCTTGTTGTTATAATGATTGAACTAAGAGTTTCATTATTTCTGGTTTGATTTCTAAAATCATATAGAATCTATGTATATCAACATTAAAGACCTTTACTTTGATGTTCACAATAATCTGACAGGAATTATTTGGGTAGTTGAAAGGTCACACCTATTATTGATCAGCATGTATCCAAATCTATATAACAAAACATTTTCATAATTATGATATTGATTGGTATATATTTATACTGTATGAGAACTGTAAACTTTTCAAGTATACTCTGGGGTTTGAAGAGTGTATAAAAATAATCTCTCAGCACAAGTAGGTCTTGAAAATCAACATTTGAATTGCTTCCTATAATTACCACCTGCAAGTCTATCTGGATAGATAAACTGGTATATAGATATCAGTATTATTTTGAGATACCAGTAGTGTAATGTTTATGAGTGTGAGAAGTGGAATTGACAGGCAGATTTCAAATTCTGGCCTAGACAGTTGCATTCACTTTCACACTAATGCTCTTAGAAAAGGCACAAACCTATCTCTTCTCCTCCTATCCATGGTTTAAAAAGAAGAGTAGATTGGGCTCTCTAGCTTTGAATGTCAATTAGTTGAAGAGAAGGAGAATTCTGGATTCCAAATTGTGAAACAGGAAATCATTCCACTGTCTTTCCCAAGAAGGAAGGGCAATTCACAGATAATAAACAAAAAGGAATCTGTGAAGTTAACTATAGAAACAAAACAAAAAATGCTTAAAGGACTGTGTAGTGATATGCAAATTAGTATAATTTGCATATGAGCAGGTAGCTCATATATAATAAATGGACACCAACGAGAACGGAAGTAAAAATAAGAACTTAGTGGATACACGACATAACAATGGCGTCGCCGATAGGATACTCTTTGGTCCTTGAAGACCCAGAGTACGTAGACACGTGGATTCGTTGCTTTGCTGCTAATGCTAGATGTAAAAAGTTGAAAGACAACAAAAACAAGAGGAGGGAAAATGAAATCACCGACTTGTTCATGGCTACCGCTGGTTGTGAAGCGATTATGAAGGTTGCTACAATGGTTTACCCTCGAGAACTAGAAGAAATGACTTTCGAAGAAATAAGTCAGGTTATTAAGGGAAACATGAGGCCAAAGAAAAGACTGGTGATTGCAGAAAGGACCAAGTTTATGGCAATGAAGCAGGAAGTGGATGAACCGATAGTAAAATATTTACACCGGTTAAGAAGTGCGAGTAAATACTGTGAATTCGAAAAACTAGGAACAGGCGAGCAGACAACGGAAGAAGAATTAATCCAACTAAGATTAATTGAAGGTATGCATAATTCGGCACATAGATATAAGTTAATGGAACAGTTACAACTTACAAACATGCCTTTGAATATGTGTATAGAATTTATACAACAGCAGGAATTAATACATACCTACAACCAAAATAAAAATAAATCCTACGAAGAAATAATGGCTGAAACATATACGGTACAAACAAAAAAAAAAAAAATTGTGCGTACTGTGGAAAAATTCATGAAATGAAAAAAGAAAAATGCCCAGCCTTTGGAAAGACGTGTTCAAAGTGTTTAAAAAAAAAATCACTTCAAAGAAGTATGTAAAACGAAAAATGTGGAAAGAGTAGAAGATGAAAATAGACAGATTTTTAATGTAAAAAGGATAATATACAAAATACTGGATCTAAGAACGGAGATACAAAATAAAAGTGAAAATCAACGACTGTATTGTCGAAATGCAAATCGACACAGGTAGTGACGTCACGATAGTACCCAGAAATTTGTGGGAAAAAAATGGGAAAACCTTTTTAAAAAAAACCAACGTACAACTACGTCAGTTTGATGGCTCGATTATAGCAATTATGGGTTACTTTGAAGGTTCAATAGAATTAAAAGAAAAATATGAAATAGTACCCATTATAGTTACAAATTGCCGAAAAACGCATGGACTACTGGGGAATGACGTGTTAAAAATAAATTCAACGAAGTTGATTAATGAGATAGAAATAGAAAAAACAGGAAAATTAAAAAACTATGAAGCTAGCCTGAAATTAAAAGAAGATGTTTCCCCCTCCTACTACGAAGCGAGAAAAATACCAGTGCATTTATTACCATTGGTAATAGCTAAATTGCGAAAGCTAATAAAGGAAGACTTATTAGAACCTGCCCCTCCAGGAGGAAGTAAATGGGCATCACCCATCGTGGTATTGAAAAAAAAGATGGTGACCTGAGAATTTGTGGAGATTATAAAATAGGGGTGAACCATAAAGTTTGTGCTGACTCGTACCCTATTCCAAATGTGGAAGTAGCTTTACATAAGCTTGCTGGAATGAAAGTATTTTCGAAGATAGACCTAAAATCAGCTTACCACCAAATACCGATAAATGAAAATTTTAAAAAGAAGTGACGACTATAAACACACCTATAGGCCTGTTAAGGTGGAAAAGAATGCCGTATGGCATAAAAACAGCAAGTGCAATTTTTCAAAAAAGCTATTGAAAAAGTAATAGGAAATGTTGAAAATACCATCTGTTATCAAGACGATATATGTGTTGGAGATTTAAATGAAGATGATTTAAAGAAAAAAAAACTGAAAATATACTGAACCGGCTGAGAGACGCTGGTATGACAATAAATACAAAAAAGTGTGTAACCAACAGTAATGAAATATCATTTTGGTTTACTCAATATCAAAGGAAGGGATCTCTCAGATAAAGTACTAATAGAGAAAATTCTAAAAGTTGCTACACCAAAAAAAAAAAAGAATTGAGTCCTTCTTAGGTTTGGTAAATTTTATAGAAAATATGTACCAAAATATAATGAGTTGACAGAGCCATTTGCTAAGTTAAGAAAAAAAAATGTGGAATTCATTTGGTTAGAACACCAACAGAAAGCCTTTGAAAACTTAAAACAGATTCTAGCAAAAAAGCCAATAGTACAAATTTTTGACCCTAAGAAGGACATAACTCTAACTACTGACGCTAGTGAGCAGTCCATATCTGGTATTTTGTCACAAGATGGGCATCCCATAATGTATTTATCAAGGAGATTAACAACAACTGAACACAATTATTCGAATATAGAAAGGGAGGCACTAGCCATAGTGTGGACAACGCATAGAGCAAGACAGTTTTTGATGGGAAAAAATTCTTGTTGAAAAGTGATCATAGACCACTGGAATTTATTTTCAACCCAAGAAAAGAGCTACCGAAAGTTACAACGTCCAGAATATTACGTTGGGCGATTAGACTGATGGCGTTCGACTTTGACATTGAATATGTTAAAGGAATACGATACCGCACGTTGATGCCTTATCTAGATTGAGGTTTTATAGAGAGGAGGACAAAAACGACGAGGAATTTGAACACACATTCTTGCACCTTGTAGAAACCGATGTAATATCTGTAGATAAAATGGCTACTGAAACTACAAATGACCCAGTGTTAAATGAATAATGTCGAGGATAAAACAGAATCGCTGGGGAAATTGTTCAATGGCTGAAAGACCATTCAAAAAAATTAGACATAGAATGACTATAGAAAACGGGATAATATGTAATGGAGACTTGGTAGTTCCCCAGAAACACAGAGGAGACAGGTTATAAAAAGTGTACACGATGACGTACATTGTGGAGTGGCAGCTACGCAAAAGAAGATTAAAATTGGAAGCCTGGTGGCGGGGTACTCAAGAGACGTAGAAGACTACGTAAAAGATGCAAAAAATGCACAGAACTCAGGAATTTTAAGCAAAAGAAAATACATGTATGGCCCCGAGAAGTAGAACCATGGAGCAGAGTACACATGGACCATGCCTATGTCAATGGGATAGGACTATTATTAATATTAGTAGACGCATATTCAGGTTGGCCTGAAGTGGTGAGAGTACCTGATAAAAAAAGTACCACCGTAAAACAAATATTAAGAGTAATATTTTCGAGGAATGGGACACCGAGAACACTGGTGACTGATAACGCACCAGAATTTGTGGATGCTGATTTGCATGAATGGCTAAGAAAAATAGGATGCAAACCTTACAAGACCCCTCCCTACCACCCTCAAAGTAATGGGGCAGCGGAAAAGATGGTCCAGACGGTAAAGAAGGGCATAAAAGCATGCTTGCAACAGAAGGAGGAAATCGATGCTTTCCTACCAAGATTACTATTAAGTTACAGAACAATTCCACATGCAGGCAGGCCGGAAAGTCCATCTGCCTTAATGGGCAGACAATTAAGGTCCCTTTGACTATGTCATATGCCACAAATCAAAAGATGTGGTACAAAAAAGAAATAGGAATATGCAACCAGAGTCAGCCGAATTTATTATGCAGAAAGGACATAATACTGCAATATTAAATAAAGAAAATGGGAACAGTGTTCTAGCTCATGCTGACCAAATAAGATCCCAAGGAGAAGAATCTGATGAGGAAATGCCTTCAGAGATGCCCATAATTGATGTATCAGAAGAGTTAATGCAGAATGAAACTGCGGAGGAAGAAGTAGAGAGAGATGAGTTAGAAGAGGAAGACCAGAGTATGCAAGAGGAACAATTCGATTATAGACGTGATAGATCTAGATCTCCAAGGGAAAGGAGAGAGATAAAGGAAGATGTTCAGGAGGACACAAGAAGAAGTACAAGAAGTACTCGCGGCATAAGGCCCCTCCGTTATAGGGAGATGTAGTGATATGTAAATTAGTATAATTTGCATATGAGCAGGTAGCTCATATATAATAAATGGACACCAACGAGAACGGAAGTAAAAATAAGAACTTAGTGGATACACGACATAACAGACTGCTTAGTCTTACTGAACTGAACTACATGATATATCAGTGGCCTTTCTAGGATTTTTAGACTATCATAGCAAAAAGACAAACATTGTTTGCTTAGAGCAATGGTTACCAAATGGTGTGGCCTGCCTCATAGCTGTGACAGAAGAGGATAGCAGGTGAGGCAGAATCATTGAAAGACAATCAAAAATTTAGGAACACAGTTTCAAAAAATTCATATGCCAAAATTAAATATGATTTCAAAATTTTAAATATTATTATGGATTACTTGTAATTACATGTATGAGTTCCAGTATAAATAATCATAAATAATTATTGACCAATTTTATCATTGTGATATTTTGCCTTATATCAAGTATTAAGAATATACTAACTAGGATCCACAAATTGGAAAAGAGTTTTCAATGATAATGTTCTGATTCGAATCTGCAGTTATCTCCCTTTTAAACCTCTTTTTTTTTCTTTTTTTTAATTTATTTATTATTATTTATTTATTATTATTTTATTTTATAAATGTACTTTTTTGTATTATTTCATTTTTATGTGGGATTATGGCTACATCATGTTGAAACACCAGTTCCCATAAAATCACCAAAGTTAAGCAAAATCGAGCCTGGTCAGTACCTTAATGGGTGATCATTTGGAAATGCCAGGTGCCTGTAAGCTTGGATATGTGGGTTATGTAATGGATAATTATCAGAATTGTTAAATGGAAAACCGAGTTCCAATTCTTGTTGGTTTTGTTATATTCACTTACACACAAATACCCCCTTGTTAAAGGTATGAATCCACATCTTCTTCCCCCAGCTATGTGTTAATTAGTAAGACTTGTATTACTAAATCATTATTATCTAAAAAAAAAAAAAAAATCTAAAAATATTTTCTGGCTTTAAATAACCTGCAAAGGGTTGATAAAAAATAAAAAATGAATGAATCAATCAATTTTATGTTGGCTTGCAAAAGTGAATCCATCTTGTCTCATGAAGTAGGAAACCAAAATGTCTTATTTGTTGTTAAATTATTATTTTACATGGAATGACTCATAATATTTTTGTTAAACATAAATGTTAATTTATGCAAAGTTATAGTCAGTCTATTATTTTTTTTTTTGGATTGTCTATCTTTCACATAAGTTATCCATGGGTAATGTTCGATTTTTTTCAGCTATATCCCAAGATCAATCTTGATTTTTTTATATATTACTGTCTGTTTATGTAGCTAGTGATATCACAGCTTGGTTTTATTTCCTCCTGGGGTCAGTTTGAACTTACATCCCCCCCAACCATATACCTAAAGTATAAACTATAATTTTGGAAATTGATCATTTTTATTTGAAATTTAGAAAATATAAACTTATCTTAAAATATCTTAAAAATTATCACAATACTTGGAAAAAAACGTTGTTGTCAGGAGGATATGAGTCAACAAATATCTCTAAATTTTCATTCTAATGGCATACACCCACACATGAACTGAGACAGAAATTTATTGGTCCAACTGAATTCTGATATTTGATTATTTGGTCAGTTTTTGAGATATGGGTTAGGTTGAAAATATCTCAGCACCTGTTTGTGTGTGTCACACACACACACACACACATATTTATATATGTTCACTGGGCTATTTCATTTTTTAATTGAGTGTGATGGTATATAAGTATTAATTGTAGGAGGCTATATTTATAATTAAATTTATTTATTATTGTTAGAATTTATCTGCATATGTCTGTAATTATATGCCTGTGTATGTGCACATGTATATAGGCATATGTATGCATACATATGTACACACAGGTACAAGTACACTTAAGTGTGCTTTGTTAGTAATAAACGAGTACATAAATGAAGTTATTTCATTTTTGTGTGTGTGTGTGTGTAAATATATATATATATATATATATATATATATATATATATATATATCTAGAGAGAGAGAGATAAATGCCATGGTTGGAACCTTTCCTTCACACACACACACATACACTATTTAACAATTGTGTATGTAATTAAAATAAATTTATCGTTTATTTAATGTCTAATTTTTATTTAATGGTCAGTAGTTTATTTGTTTTTGACTTAATGTTATACATTGAGGTATTAATTATAGGTGTTAAGTTTGTTCCTTTTTCTTTGGTCTTTGTGTGTGTACATGTGCATACTATTTGTTCATTTATTTGTTTATTAATTAATTTTATAGTATATTTGTTTCATTTAAAGTTTGTGTTATATTTTTTATTTTATTTATTTAAAGTTTGTATTTGTTTATTTTTAGTTAGTGCTTACATGGCAAAGTAAATAGTTAATACTGTATGGGTCTGCTCTTTTTATAATTTCCCATTTGATTTTGGCAGGGATATTGCTATCTTTTTGGCTCCATACGTATTTTGATAGGGTTGTATTGTGTGTTTTTTTTCTTTCAAATGACATGTTGTGGTTACAATATCTTTCTTTAAAAGTTTTTTCTATGGCCCCCTATGTAAATATTTTTGTCTGTGTTAATGGTATTATTTACAATCGCTTTGTATATTATGTTATTGGTTAAGCATTTATTCTTAAGTGGGCAATTATCTTTGTTTCTGCAGTTACATTTAATGGTGTTATTTTGCTGTATGTTGTTGTTGTAATTGTTATCGTTTTTTTATTGTGCTTAGTTATTATTTTCTCCATCTTATCCATGCAGCTGTAACTAATTTTGACCACTGTCCCTATATACAATTATCTTTTTTGTTAATTTATTGATTATGTATATGCTTAAATTTCTTGGGCCATCATAGTTACTCATTGTTACATCAAAATTATTATTATTTTGGCCCTTTTTTGACCATGTTTTTTTACTGTGGTATAATATTGATTTTTGGCAGTGTTTAATTATATTTATGACCTCATTGAGGATACTGATGTATTGTTTTGCTAAGTTTAATGCATTGTTTAGTGTATGTTTATTAATAGATAAGTAAAAATCCTTGTCCTTATAGTCTTTTAATTTAATAAATAATTCTACTTTTGCTAATTGTTTTATCCTATTATCTAATTTTAGTTTAGTGGCTGTTTTTAGCTTCTTTGTTTATATCACTCTCTTTTTCATTATTAGTGGTTTTGTAAAATTTAGTGACTTCATTGTCAACTAGTTTATTGTAATTATTTACATTGTTCAGACTGTTGTCTTCATCTTTATTGCCATATTCATGACATTTTTGTTGTTGTACACTCCAGCCTTCTTCACGTGATTGGAATTTCAAGCTGAACTCTTTACTTCATCCACTGGGGTAGATTGTTCTAGTTGCATGTGCCATGCCTCTTCTGGATATCTTAGTTATCTCCCTTCATCTTAACTCTCCAAGTTTTTGTTCAACACTACCATAGCCAGGTATTGAACTCAATATAGATAGTTTATAATAATTGTTGGTTTCCATTTTATAGCTTATCCTGGATTTATCTGCTTTTATAATTTTTTTGAGTTGTTTATCCTTTTTTTTTTTCTTTTTTTTTTTTTATCTTTTTTGAGTCTTTTTTTGAAAATTATTGTTGAATTTTCTTATTTTCAAATTATTGATTATGTTTAAATCATTTTCAAAAGCAATGATGTCATTTTGCTGTGGTGGGTATTTCATTGATGTAAATCCAAATTTGTTAATATTATTAGTTTTATCAATATTGTCATCATCGTCTTTGTTGTTGAATAGAATACTTTCCATTTTATGTGTTTTATGAAATTTGCTATTTTTAACATTAGTTTGGCTTTGTAGTCATATAGGTTTGATGTTGGTATATTTTTAAGTAGTAGTTAAAATGTATGGGTTCCATATCGATGTAAGATTGTGTTTTTTGAGAAACTATAATACTGAATTGAATGCTGTGAAAAAGTGATCAAGGAAAAAGTAAAATTCTACAAAAGTGCTCAAAGGAAAATAATTTTTCAGGAGCTAAGGCAAAAGATAAGTATAAAGCCCAAAATGCTAACAGTGAATTGGGTATTGAGAGAAAAAACATTTAAACCAAGCAGTCTTTTCAATATTAATAGTATTAAAAGTAAAATTGAGTAAAATTTGTTACCTTCAGCATCCTGACTCCAGAGTTTCATAGACAGATGTAACCTACACAAGAATAATACATGGTTTAATGATCACTTAAGGCATGAAACTGCTAGTCATCATGCATTATTGATTTTTGTATCCACACATACACACACATAGTGCAACTTCGGTTCTTGAATGTCTTATATATTGAACAAATCAGTTTTGGAACAGAATATTCGAGATTAAAATGCCTCAGTTATCAAACAAAATTTTGGTTCTCAAACAACATTGCCAAACCAAGTTAACCCAAACAGAATCATTTCCTAGTCGACTGCTGTGTTGTATACATTTGTGTGTTGTACTGTGCTTTTCTTTTCCAATTTTATTGTACTGTGCCTTTTTTTTTCTCTTCATTAGTCCTCAGTCATGGCTCCAAAGAAAGCTAGCAGTGATACTGGTAAAGGAAAATGGAAAGTTAAGAGAAAAACAATTGTAGATGATATCATCTCTTCCTAATCAGTTTCATATGGCAAAATCAACAATCTATACTATTCTTATAGACGTCCATGTCTTTCCTTTCCTTTTCCAACAATAACATCTCTTTCCTTTCCCTTCCACTTATGCCATCAACTCTCCTACATAAAGGTACGGTACAATTGAAGTGTTCATCTATATTTTATCAGTTTAGTATTAGGTTTATTTTTTTATTTTTTTCTTAGATTTAATGATTTTCATTAGTTTTATGTATAAACTTGTGCAAAAGTACTGTTAAAGTTTAAAGCAATCATCTTGAAACCAGGGATGGATTAATCCATTTTACATTGGAAAAATAGCTTCAGTTTACAAATGGGTTTCAGGAATGAATTAAATTTGTGAGCCATGGTTCCACTGTGTGTGTGTGTGTATATATATATATATATATATATATATATATATATATAGTTGAATTTTTTTGTAAGCAAGAGAGCATGTTTGGGTCTAATGAGTATATTGTCCAAATGTTTGTGATTGGGTGCTTTCACCCATACTTCTGGCTATTTTCAAGATTTAAGGTTACTATATATATTTGTTTAATTTACGACCCCCAAATTTTCATTTATAAAAAATGATTTTATCATGTATCTTGTGCATCATGCAAGTTCCTTTTTGGAGACACCAAATTACAATAGACTAACCTCTTTTCCTCTATTTCTTTATCCCACCTTCTCATTAAAAAAGTAAAAGAGAATGATAAAAGTATCATTAGTAACACAATAATTGTTGCATAAATGTATACAGCCATAAACAACCAAATGAGAAACAGCTAAACCTCTTATAAACGTAAACAATAAAAAAGATGTATATTCGCTATGTTTGTATTTTATAATACGATACTAGTATGTGAATATTACATGAATTATTATTGGATACAATTAAATAAAACATCAGTTTTATCAAAATAATATTTATTCTAAATAAGGCTGTATTTTTTTACTACAGTAAATGGATATATAGTTTAGTTAATGGCATACATATACTCATTTTATATCTTTATATATGATGCAACCCCCTCAAAATTATCCACCCTTAACTCCAACTCTCTTTACGACTCACTTCACACCACAGCTCCATATAGGCAGTGCTAATCTCTCTCTCTCTCTCTC